ACACCTTAGTGATTGGTTAGCGTTTATTTAGCATTCAGGGGACAGACCGGCACTAAACCCATAGACCGTACAGCACTCCTCTGGCTTCGAAAGGAATGATTGGGTTTTAAGGGATGTATTTGTCTGCAGACATTACAACACTTCCTCGTGGTTAATTGGTCATACCGACACAACTATACTCCTTGGGACTGACATGGCTTCACATTGGCTTCTAGCATGTGACACATGAACAATAGAACACTTTTTTCACAGTTACTTTATCTCAATAGAAAAGGAGTTATGTGAGGAAGATAAATAGTGACTTTGAGAACCAATAATTTAAATACCAATTTTGGTTGATGTCTTAAAAGCTTTTCAAGTCCAAAGTTTAAGACAATATATTGGACATTAACGCCAAACCTTACTTCATCTCCGACCATTTGAGATTATGGGATATTTGCGCTTGAATCGCGAAACAGCCATGGCTGTGACACCATGCCATAGGCTTTATTTGGCTTCAGAGGGCACATCTTGTCTTTCGGATGGACGGACATTATTGCATGGATGTTGATGGGTGGGAATTAAGACAATAAATTTTCTAGGCTGTCCTTGGTTCGGAAGATTTGATAGGGTCCATGGGAACTTTAGTAACGGGGATTATAACAGAAGATATTCAAGGCTTTCCCCAGTCTCGGAAGACTTGGTAGCACCAATGGGACATACCGTGATGGGGATTAAGACAATAGATAGTCAAGTCTTTCCTTGGCTCGGAAGACTTGATAGCACCAATGGGACATACCGTGACGGGGATTAAGACAATAGATAGTCAAGTCTTTCCTTGGCTCAGAAGACTTGATAGCGTCAATGGGACATACCGTGACGGGGATTAAGACAATAGATATACAAGTCTTTCCTTGGCTCGGAAGACTTGATAGGGTCAATGGGACATACCGTGACGGGGATTAAGACAATAGATAGTCAAGTCTTTCCTTGGCTCAGAAGACTTGATAGCGTCAATGGGACATACCGTGATGGGGATTAAGACAATAGATATACAAGTCTTTCCTTGGCTCGGAAGACTTGATAGGGTCAATGGGACATACCGTGACGGGGATTAAGACAATAGATAGTCAAGTCTTTCCTTGGCTCAGAAGACTTGATAGCGTCAATGGGACATACCGTGATGGGGATTAAGACAATAGATATACAAGTCTTTCCTTGGCTCGGAAGACCTCATAGGGTCAATGGGACATACCGTGACGGGGATTAAGACAATAGATAGTCAAGTCTTTCCTTGGCTCGGAAGACTTGGTAGCACCAATGGGACATACCGTGATGGGGATTAAGACAATAGATAGTCAAGTCTTTCCTTGGCTCAGAAGACTTGATAGGGTCAATGGGACATACCGTGACGGGGATTAAGACAATAGATAGTCAAGTCTTTCCTTGGCTCGGAAGACTTGATAGCGCCAATGGGACATACCGTGATGGGGATTAAGACAATAGATCTTCAAGGCTTTCCGCAAGCTCAGAAGACTTTGTTGGGCCCATGGAACATATAGTGATTGGGATGAGGACGGTAGATGTTTTAGTTTTTCCTTGGCTCGGTAAGGAATTGTTAGGCTCATGGGACATGGCGTTTCTCTCAGTTGTAACGGGACTTGGATAACTTTTATGTCTGTAGACCATATTCAACACATTCTCTGGGCAGGGAAAGGTTTATGGAGTTTAGGAGACGGATAATGTCTGTAGACGATACAAATCATGGATCCGTCCTACATATTGAAAAATCTATCAAGTACATTTGACTGCAGACACACAGACGCTCGGCTAAATAAAAACAAAGGATTAATGACTACGTCGCCTAGATGGGATTCTATGATACAGCTGAAGCAGTTTATGACTTGATGCTTGGACTTTCCTTTCATGGTTATCAGCAAGCCTGTCCAGAACAAATCAGAGACGGCGGTGCTGCTTCTCCTGTCTGATCTTCTATTAACTTCAGAGCAATAATGAGCGACGCCTATTTTTGGGTAACATCACACTTCATGCAGTCGGTGATAAAGTATTAAAATACCAGTGAATTAGAATAAACGTGTGTAACTATAGCCCTACATCCTCTTGTACAACAAACATCACACTAAGCTGAAGCTTCGTCACGTTTCCTATACCGGAAACTTTAACATTACTCCTCACACCAAATTAATTTCAAAATATGTAAAACGAATCGTTCGGTTAACACATTTTTCGAGCAGTCATTTACAGTCAAATCGTTTCCAATACTTTTGCAAAATCAGTTTTATTACTAGCATCATTCAGCGTATAGGGCAATAAATCAATAAATGGAATGAAATCTGAATAATATGTAATAAGGACAATGGTAGATTTTATAAAGAATAAACATTAAACAACTTCGTGTGGAAAATATTCTATTTGCCCAGAGTCTTACGATTACAAATCATTAGTCATCGGCAGGTTAACAGGACTGCTTGAGTCAGTCATTGAACATGAATATGAAACCAATGCCTCAGTGGCGCACGATCAGCGTTTGAAAATGTACATCCTGTTCACAACTATTAACTACAATACGCAAGCAAACACACCTAACTTCATGTTGTCATAAACTGCTAAAATACGTCTGATTTGGATCGCGATTCTAGTAGTTGTGAATGCAGACATGCCGTTACATTGCAGCCTTATTAATAACACAGATATGATTCGTTGTGTAATGACATCTTGTATTATTGCCTCGGTTATAGTGGATGGTAATGGGCGCTATACGTCCTATATTTAGATTATTCCATATAGCAATAGCCATGTGACAGTTCCGCTGATCAGTTGGCGGACATGGTGTAATAGATATTGGGAACAAGAATAGTTTCAGTTTGATTATTTTTCCTCATTACTACTTTCGTAATGTCTCTTTCATGGCTGACTGGATCATTTCAACGTTAGATTTAATCAATCATAGTATTGTGCCGTGGTTATATTTACCTGTATCAACACACCTCAATATAAAACAATTAACCTTTAACTTTTTTCTTCAGTATTGTCAATACATCACAAAGGGCCTTGGCAGATGGTAGCAAATGCAGACAAATTCATCAACCTTGTGACATTAGAGAGGGAGCCGTATCGCTACACCATGCCCTCTCCCGTTATCGGACAGAGGCTATGTAGCATTGAGCTCGTAAATTAAAATTGCACTTCTATTCCAAGTACAAAACTACACGCCCATCCTCCGCTAGGACCATCCACTTTTTGTATTCACGAAGAACCCGAATGACATTTAAGTTAGACAGTATTGTCTTCCGGGATCAAACTAATGTAGAAACAGTTGGCTTTCCTTCCACCATCCCCATGTCTCCCGTGATCAACCCCGGGGATATTACAGATAATTCTAACGCCATTATCTCATCCTTGGCTCCGTTAATTGCAATTTTGTCCAGTCAGCTAATTTTATTTTATATGGCACAAAGGTCGCATCTATGTCCTTTGTAAAGCAGGGTTCATAACCCTGTCAACGTCTGGAAATGACTCCAAAGTGTTCGAAAAACGTATTTGTTTGCATTATATTCTTTTATTGGCCAGAATGTGCCACCGTTACAGTGCTGTTCTATTCTGTAACCCACAAACTGGACAGTTTAAGTACTCTCCAGTCTCCTGATATTATCTCCAAATGTTGAACCGCCATAATTCAATCAATCAATAATTTTGAACTTTGCATCGCGAGTGTTTGGTGGTGCGTGAAGAGTGAAGGGAAACTGCCACGAATGTCAGTTTAATCAATCCATTTTTCTAATTGAATTCTACTCTCACTTCATAGACGTTTGAATTGTAAGTGTGTAACATTAGAACAGCAAATGGCTTCAAACATACGCTACTATTCATGGGCTTTACCTGCAGCAGGTCCAATAAGCACGTCCCCTCGCCCCGCGTCCTAATAGTCCCATCTTACAATAATTGCTACACACTCACCAGAGTGAACACATGTACATTTCCAATTTTGAACGTTAAGTCTAAACGTGTAAAACATCAACTTTAGATAAGCTTGTTTAAATCTCAAGGTAGTACTAAATTGAATTGCGTCGTTTCCTGAGAATCGGGAAATGTCAAAACTGTCAACAAATCTTTCACTTAAAGGATATGATCGATGTAACGAGGACTAGCAGCATAACTAATACTAATAATCGCCGGGGAGTGAGAGCGGCAGTCCGGGGTTGACAGCCAATCTGTTCGCCTGTCTCGTGGAATGTACCCCCATTCATACAACGTTTGCTACCACGTTACAACACATCATACCAGCTTGTGACTGACAATAGAGGCTAGCTAAGAATTAAAAGCATTGAACAGTTACACATTCACGATCAATTTGTCTGAAAGTGTATCAACGTGTACATAGTGAGAAATTATACGTGAAAAGAACTCATAAATGTGTCTCGTTGCTGGCGTCAAGGGTGCGCCCGTTTGTAAAATCTGTTTTGATAAATGTCTACTATACCGGGTGAACAAAGGAACGAAACGATATCGTTATAAATCACACCGCGTGAAGTGCGCCTTATGACACGTGGGTGACATTCGAGGAAATCGGCTTGATATAGTTGTCAGAGGCTATGTGTGTTCAACACAACCAGACGCTCCCGTTCGTGGTTGATATCACGGAATTACTTACATGACTTTTCGAAACATGATACATACGAATCACATATAATTTAATTCTATAGTCAGTTCAAGGTATATCAAAACGATATCTGTAGATCAGCCTATAGGCTTCTATTACCAATTACACAGCAGATAACCGTTCAAATCACAAACACATTCATAACATATTGAGTTGGCAGAGTCGTCCTGGCACAAACTTAATATATCTATATTTAATTTCACGTAATGGTTTTTACACAGCTAGAGAAGACATGCGAGTATTTTGCCAGACTAAACTTTGAACGTACTGAAAAGTCTACAAAACGGCTGAAAGAGAAGCTGACAGAATATTGCAGGTTGGCAAAAGAACATGTACTAACCCACCTGTTGATGTTAAGTCCAATAGTGTATATCCTTTACTCGGAGTCTAGAACACTGGGTCGGTCGTACACAGCACATGCATGGGGCTCCGCCAATCACCAGAACAAGCGTTAGCCACTCACGCAGTGACTCCCACCGTCAGCTGACTCCCCTGCTACTCCCTTGCAATTCTCGCTCTCCTCACATCTCACACAGGACACACACACAACTCAAAGAAAGACCGCCTCCTTTTTTCCCCAGGTCAAGCGTGGAGAAACACCAATATAAGCCAATATCTGTTTAGCGTGTCTCTCTCCCTTTCATTGTGATGGATACACAACTACCACAGCCCGCCCCATACCACCGTCTTCGCAGCTGTTACCGGTTCATTACGGGGCTGACAAGTTTGGAATATCTATTTCTTGTGTGCAAACTTCCCGCGTCCTTCGTCGCTTGGTGAGCAGCCAGAGGCTGGCGATCGCTAGGAGAACTACGCGAGGGGCGCTTTCACTCTCAACTATTGTAGTTTCGCTGCTGTCGAGATTCGATGAGCTCCGCACTCTTGTTAGAAGGTTGGTAGAAATGCAGGGGGGGTAACTCTGTAAAAGGTCGGTTTAATTTGCAACAAGTAACACAGTGACTAACTAGTACGATCTGTATGTCATGTTATACATGCATCAACGTGTTCTGAATTGATAATGAAGTATTTTATGGTATGAATTATTAATTAGATGTTAATTGTGGTCATTAACTGAGGCGGGGAGTGGATTTGGGGTACAGAAAGATAAAGCGATAGGAAGACATACAGCTTGATAGTTACACGTACAGAACAACAGACGGGAAGACAGACAGGGGCAAATAGCTGTGTGATAGATAGATAGATAGATAGATAGATAGATAGAGATAGATAGATAGATAGATAGATAGATAGATAGATAGATAGATAGATAGATAGATAGATAGATAGATAGATAGATAGATAGATAGATAGATAGATATAGATAGATAGATACGTAATGCTAAATTGCTAAAGATAAATAGTATGGTAGGTAGATAGATACTGATATAGATAGAGATACTGATATGAAAAGATATATACGTATTGATATAGAGAGTCAAATTGAAGGATAGTAGGTAGATAGATACTGATATAGATAGAGATACTGATATGAAAAGATATATACGTGTTGATATAGATAGTCAAATTGAAGGATAGTGGGTAGATAGATACTGATATAGATAGAGATACTCATATGAAAAGATATATAGGTATTGATATAGAGAGTCAAATTGAAGGATAGTGGGTAGATAGATACTGATATAGATAGCGATACTGATATGAAAAGATATATACGTGTTGATATAGATAGTCAAATTGAAGGATAGTGGGTAGATAGATACTGATATAGATAGAGATACTGATATGAAAAGATATATAGGTATTGATATAGAGAGTCAAATTGAAGGATAGTGGGTAGATAGATACTGATATAGATAGAGATACTGATATGAAAAGATATATACGTGTTGATATAGAGAGTCAAATTGAAGGATAGTAGGTAGATAGATACTGATATAGATAGCGATACTGATATGAAAAGATATATACGTGTTGATATAGATAGTCAAATTGAAGGATAGTGGGTAGATAGATACTGATATAGATAGAGATACTCATATGAAAAGATATATAGGTATTGATATAGAGAGTCAAATTGAAGGATAGTGGGTAGATAGATACTGATATAGATAGAGATACTGATATGAAAAGATATATACGTGTTGATATAGAGAGTCAAATTGAAGGATAGTAGGTAGATAGATACTGATATAGATAGCGATACTGATATGAAAAGATATATACGTGTTGATATAGATAGTCAAATTGAAGGATAGTAGGTAGATAGATACTGATATAGATAGAGATACTCATATGAAAAGATATATACGTATTGATATAGAGAGTCAAATTGAAGGATGGTGGGTAGATAGATACTGATATAGATAGAGATACTGATATGAAAAGATATATACGTGTTGATATAGAGAGTCAAATTGAAGGATAGTAGGTAGATAGATACTGATATAGATAGAGATACTGATATGAAAAGATATATACGTGTTGATATAGATAGTCAAATTGAAGGATAGTAGGTAGATAGATACTGCTATAGATAGAGATACTGATATGCAAAGATATATACGTGTTGATATAGATAGTCAAATTGAAGGATAGTAGGTAGATAGATATAGCTACTTACCGATATAGATAGATACTTATATAAAAAGACATGGCTTTCTATAGATAGATAGATATATAGATAGATAGATAGATAGATAGATAGATAGATAGATAGATAGATAGATAGATAGATAGATAGATAGATAGATAGATAGATAGAAAATGATATATATGTAGATAGATACTGATACAAAAATATATATAGATATTGCTATAGATGGATAGATCGATACTTACATATATAGATAGATTGATAGATACATGTAGATACTTACTGATATAGATAGATTTATAGCTAGATACTTACTAATATAGATAGACTGAAAGATAGATACTTACTGATATAGATAGATACATACATACATACATACATACATACATACATACATACATACATACATACATACATACATACATACATACATACATACATACATACATACATACATACTTACATACATACATACATACATACATACATACATAACACAACGAGACAAAACTAGATTACAATTGCTAAGATAAAACATCCTGGGTGAAGTTCTCACTGCCTTCCTGATTTACACATACAGCTGAGTATTAATTTCCAAACTGCACCAGGGGCATCACCTTGCCATACTCACTTCCAGACATCTATATTTCCGTGTTATCCTCGCTGATTGTAGAAATCCTGGGATATAAACTTCAGGGGGCTGACTGACAGCGGGGCGATAAACCAGAGATGTTATGGACTAGCGTCAGGTACGTCCTGCTCGCTCGCTTATCTCCTGCAATCTCGGCCTGGATTACTTATGGCTTAACTTGCACAAGTTATGAGTTGGTGTTTTTGGACATTTTCTGTAGTTTGATGGGGATGATCTGAAGTTCAGACTCGACGCACGCTATCCTCAAGGGATGAATAAAAAAACAGAGCCCGATCCACCAGGGCACTACGAGGTTATTTTTATCGCATTTGCTTGGAACTGAAAATATGGCTGTCAGTGAGTTCCACACTGTACCTATTTCATGAATCGAATTGAAAAAACGGCAATGAAAAGTTTTCTCCTTCCAACGTTGCCAATAAAAGATTCGCAATCCCCTCTCCTCTTTCATCCATTCAAAACCTTTCAGCTCAATCCACTTTTTACAATCAAGATATTCCCCCCGTGCTTCACGTTTCCTAGGGACATATACATAAACCTTGATGTGGCTCAAACGCTTCTGAATATAATGTTTTAGTTAGCCGGGAACGATTCTTCCCATTTCATCGTCCTGGAAGCGCCATCTATGAACAGTTGTGATTCACAGCGTATCAAGCTTCTAGGAAATATCTCTCCACTTGAAATAGGTTCGGCATCATCATCTGTGCCGTTCTGATGTATCGACAGAAATATGTCGTGCAGATGTTGGGATATTTGCCTGTATCCTTTTACAGTGTAAACAGAATTTCGTGCAAATGTTTTTCACGTGTTAGAAAGACGAATGTATCCAAAAAGAAGCTGGTGTCGATTATTGTCTATACGCTACTCAATAATACGAGCACGGACGCCTGATGCTGCGTGTATTGATTACAGGTGAGAAGATACAGGTGTATATAAGTACCTCAAACAGCTGATGTGCCTATTATCTGTGTAGGTATTTTTCTGGGATACTAACATTTGTTGATTTATTGAAACTGTGGTATGTGTACAGGTGTTACGTATTATTCTGTGTCAATAACGCTTGTACTAACCCTTTGTAATTGAAGTGTTCGCTATGAGGCAAATCATTTCAGTTCTTGTACAATATGTTCAAGGTAGTTCAAATATGTTTTAATAAATGTAATGTGTATCGGCAACGTGTGTGACATACGACATGAGTGAGTGAGTAAAGGTTTCTGCATGAGATATCAATATTCCAGCTATTTTATAGTGGCATTCAAACTTTATTAAATAAATGCATTGATTGAAAAATGGTAGTTTTCGAATTTTCTTTAACAGTAAAAGTAGACGCTATGTTTCTACTTTGTATTCGTTCCTAGCACACAAATAAAATACATCTCCGGGAACCCTACGACGTGGATCGTTGCTCATGCCATCGACCACCGGTTTTCCTAACCGTGACGTGATAAAAAACGGGTCGTCGTGGTGTTACTGGAATATTGCCAACAACGGCGTAAAATAACAATCATTCTTTTCATATCCGATGCATGGTGAATCCTACAGTCAATGGTTCACCATACAACATCGTAGACATGATTATGGAGACACACAGTTATAAATATTCTAGTAGTATTGACGGTACCAGTCTGGTCTAACTGTGACAAATAATTACAATTCAACAAATACAAAACACTCAGACATTGCTTCATTCTCAAACTTTAATAAGTAGGAAAAGTGTGACAACAGCAGTGCAAGTACATAAATTACTTATAGAACGGTCATATCATCTCCACCTGCCCCTCCCTTGGTACACATAATCAACACAAATGTTCATTCGAAAGTCTTATCATGCACGTTGGTATATCGGTCAATTGTTACTGTGATTCCCCCCAACGATGTCCACCAACTCGTAAAGGCTCTCGGACCCTCTGTCCGCATCTTAGTGAAAGCAAGGATGCCCAACGTACTGAGCAAGAGAAAGATTGATGTGTCACATTGAACCTAATTACGCCTTGCTCCATAGCACAATGACCAGGGTTGATTGTGAAAGACAATATCCTATTCTGCACTGATGAAGCCCTCCAGCTTCAATGGACCTGGGCATCAATGCCTATAATTAACATTGTGGGAGAATGGAGTTAAAAGCGCTATAAAAGAAAGCTCAATTGGTCACTTTAGCGGTCAAGGAGGGGAATATCCCTCGGGAGTAGTAGTGCGCTACAGTTTGTCCGGTCGGTGTCACGGGGACTCGTTGCTTGTCGGGAGGGGGAGACACAAATGTTGGCCTGATGCCCTTATCTTGTAACGTCGGTCCTAACGTACCAAGTTGATGTACGTCTAAATGAATGAGTGAGTGAGCGTTTTCAGTGTAACGCCACCTTGAACGATAGTGTTGTTATACCCCGGAACAGCATAAACGTTTACCACCCTTTACGTTTAACACACACGATGACCAAACACCAGGGTGAACCAAGACGAACTTTGACTAACATCTAGTCTCTGATAGAACTTATTTTACAGAAAAACTCAATTGTTGAATTATCTTGATAAAATATTATAAAAACAAGAGTTTGTCTTCACTGCTAACACTGCGTTAATCTAGACTTGCCTAATATTATAGACTTGCATGGGCTGTATTGAAAATTACGACGGACACCTAGCTTAGACCGCGAAACCACCCATCCATACCCCTCCACATCCCCCTACTTCCCCAACCCCTCCACACGCCTTTCCCCTCACCCCTTCACACACCCTTCCCCCACCAACCCCTCCGGACACCCTCCCCAATCCCCCTCTACACATCCTCCCCTGCCCCCCTCCACACATCCTCCTCCGACCCCCTCCACACCCGCTTCAAACACCCCCTCCAAATACCCTTCCCTCACCCCTCCACACACCCTTCCACCATCCCTCCACACACCCTTCCCTCCACTCCCCCACACACCCTTCCACCACCCCCTCCACACACCCTTCCCTATTCCTCCACACACCCTTCCCTCACCCCTCCACTGCTCCACGCACCCTTCCCCCACCCCCCCACCCCTCCACACACCCTTCCCCCATCCCCTTCACACACCCTTCCCCCACCCCCCCACCCCTCCACACACCCTTCCCCCATCCCCTTCCCCCACCCTTCCCCCACCCCCTCCACACACCCTTCCCCTATCCCCTCCACACACCCTTCCCCCACCCCACCCCCACCCTTCCACACACCCTTCCCCCATCCCCTTCACACACCCTTCCCCCATCCCTCCACACACCCTTCCCCCACCCCCTCCACACACCCTTCCCCCATCCCCTCCACACACCCTTCCCCCAACCCCTCCACACACCCTTCCCCCACCCCCTCCACCTGCCCCAGGATCTGGATGACCTTCATACAAATGCTATGGCCATGTTGAGTGAGGAACACGGATACCTCCTCGTGGCCTGTTGACAGGGAGGGAATCTTGAAGGACCCTTTTCTGATGTTGTTAATTAAATTGATATAAAAATATACATAAGAGAGGAGCTTCATTTGTTGCTTGACCCAAGCATGCAAACAATAGATACAGTAGTCTAGACTGAGGTTGATTCCATCATACAGTTCACAAATGATTTAACAAGATACAACACTAGATTACAGCTAGAGAGTGTAGATGTCAGGTTATTTTTCCGCGTTATTGTAATAATGTCCCCGGGCACTGACTAACTCGAACATAATAACATGACGGCCTGTGAAAAGGGCTATTATAGTAAAAATGAGTGTTACAAAGATGCAGAATGAAGACCCTCAGAAAGCCATGTGTAAAGGATCAGTTGATACGTGATGACTGAGTGATATTTAAACGTTATGCCCTTGATTAGCTGATAAAATGATATGAATACAATTCACGATCAGTATTAAATTGCCCAACAAATGTTATTAGACACTGCAAATTGGCTGGTGCATTGAGCTTGTTTGTTGAATAGTTCAGTCGCCAACAAGCTCCGGTATCCGCAGGGGCCAGTGATAAAGTTATTACTAATCTGAATACATATATCACCGGTATGTACAGGTACACGGGAATGTTAGAAAAAAGCTCCATAGCAACACATGTATTGAGCGCCTGTGTATTCAATTTAGATTATTTTCAACGTTAGGAGTGATGGCCTATGTTAAGCTTCTGAACACTCCTACTTCCCAATTCCACATTGGGTTATCTTTTGGGGCACATTTAATTCGTAGACGGCGTACCTAATGAATTTGTTTTCAAGATTCTCTTTGATATGACATGAGTACCACCGCATGTTGCAGATTGATAAATTCACGAATCTGTTTGTTTTGTTTTGTTTTGTCATACAACTGAAATAAAGACATGTTCACTTCATAGTTCAGACTGTGCAAGCAGTAGTGAAGAAACTGCACTAGGATACTTTGATGCGAAAGTATTACGAGAAATTTAAATTGAGATGTTTTAGCAACTGCAGTATGTGATATACATTCTCATGGTGTTGCTCGTTTCGAGTGAAGAGACATATACAGCTGGTTCGTAATATCAATACGCCACACGCGAGTAATCTCCGAAGCAATCTGTTAAAAGAGTGTTGAATTCATACAAACATATAAAGGTATTTTGATACCAATAACATCCTCTTATAAATTATCGAATGCACATTTGTTGTATCAATAATATTAAATTTGCCCTGATTATCCCATATCGTCACAATAGAGAAAAAAGTCATTTATTACATCCATTGCAATTTGATATAGGGCCAGGAGAGATTAGCAGGATGATATATTAACTATATTTCAGAATATTCACAAATATTAGAGCCATCACATTTACATGTTTGAATGTATTAGTTTTAAATTTGAATTATTCCTAACCAACCTCTTTTCTTCTTACAGAAACACGTGGATGTAATGTAGGTGATGTAGGTCGCTACTATTGATACATATGATATAATCTGTACTCTTCACTCTATCAACGAACCAACTTCAATGCATTATTCATTGAGCAACTGCATCTATCAACATCCACGCACCTGACTCCGAATGGATGCACCTGCAAGTGCAACTGTGTACATCCAGCGATATCCAATGCATTTTTCAAAGGCCACATCCCTTTATCTAGTGCCTGTCAAGGTTCTGTACAAATGATGTGACTGATTTCATTCGAAGCGTTACAAAAATATTCTATTTCAAACTAGTTAAATAGCATGTGTATAAAATCAGGCTAGGGAAGAGGCATACTGCATCGTGACATTCCAAAGTTGTTCTGTTTAACGAAGCCAATACTGTACTGTTACCGTTTTCCGTGGGTTGTGAGTAGAATATGGCCAGATTGTACCAGATGGCTAAACATTTGTGTGCACACAAGCATTTCCTTAACTCAAACATTCACATACGTCCCAAGAGAACCCAATACATCTAATCTCACAAGTGTGCTTCTCAGTAGAACACGGACAAGAGGCAAACGGCCCTTCTGGTCATTACGGTTGAGTGAACAGTTCTGTTTTCTGACTTGTTCCAAGCTGTTAGCTGGCGACGACTGGCCTAGTGGGTGTGATGGAAGTGGAATATGCGTCATTGAAAGCGTTTCTCACTGCCTTTCACTTCACAGTCACAACACGCGCTTCACTGGACGAGGACGTTCTTGTTGAAGGGACGGCGGAAAGA